ATTTCAGAATGCTCTTTGATTATAGGTGAACTATAAATCCCAGCAGCTACAACTCCCAAATGACAAAATCATATTTTTTTGAGGGATGGTCACTCCTTGCGTATTGAGATGTTTTGTTGCCAAATTTGGTGTGATTTCGTTCATTGGTTCTTTTGTTTTTAAGGTACTCATTATGCACAGAGCATTTATATATATATAGATAATGTTGTTAATTGCATTTGTGTTGTTTGGGGGCATTGACTGCCAACTGTAAACCACCCCGAGTCGCCTCTGGGTTGAGAGGGGTGGTATATAAATGTGGTAAATAAATAAGCTAAAGATCCAATATTAATGTGGACAATGACAATAAGGACAGGGAATATCAAGAACTTGGAACTATTGAGAGCATTTGAATAAATAAATAAATAAACGAGGAACAGCCATGGCCATTTCAGATTGAAAAGGACTGAGAAAGTTGTTCATACCAGTTTTGTAATGTAGTCTCCTGTTAACATGGCAGATGACAGCTGAATCTCATACCAGTTTCAATCCCCATTTTTTTTTTAAAAAAAATAATCTAGTTTATCAACTTGTAGGAAACTTCTGAACTTCTTCCATTGGCCCCCAATGTCCAATGTAATGTCTTGTAGCGTAATGCAAATTTTCACTGTCATGCATATATCTGTAAAAACAATTAGCTAATTACTGCTTTCAAACATTCCCCTGGCAGAGGAAACACATAATTGGAAGCTGGGATGGGCGATTACTATGCTGAGGTCATTGGCAAAGTCTTCGTTCATAGACTTCTCACGTGGGAGGCATCAGCCTAGAAGAAGACAATAATGTCAAGCTTGACTCAAGCTAAAGACTCCTAAGAGCAGTCCACTGAGATCACTTTGTGAATGGCTTCTCCAACCACAGGGTACACATTATACAAGGGATTATTCAGTCATCATTCAACTCATGAATAAGACATTCTTCTGGGTTTGCCTTTCTCTCAATCCGGGTGTTCAGCTTGTTCGTTTATGGCAGTTGGTCCTGCAGCCATTTTCAAAAGAGTGTGGGGCCATGTGCTGGAACAGCTGCACCAGAAGCTCCCACTTTATTTGCTTTGTATTAAGTGTTTGTTTGCAGCCCAAGGCTTGGGATTCTGCAGAAGGGTGGCTTCCTGTTAAAGTTTGCAGTTATAGGGCAGGTCCCCTGTCCATCATCGTTAAGTTTGGTTCCGCCCCCTGTTCAGGACAATTGAGAAGGGAAGGGAGCCATTTTCAGTCAGTCTCAGCAAGGAAAGTCAATGTACAGGACGTGTACAGACTTTCTCCTGTACAAAGGCTTCAACCCTTAAGACCTCCCGGGGGAGAACAGTCTTAAGAGCATCTAAAGATCCCACAATTCCTTGAGGCGCGGCATTCGCCCCAAAGGCTTACCTTGGCCCAATGCCGAGCCTCAAGGAATTGTGGGAGTTGAAGTCCACCACAGCTGGAGGGCCAAAGGTTCCCTACCCCTGATCTAAAGATTCCCAGGGAAACAGCCCTACAGCCCTGAAGAATTTCGGAGGGAATAACAGCTTTAAACATCAAGAACTCCAGCTAAGTGACTACAGGCCTACTGGTAGGTCCACTCGGTTTTGAGACGCAGTTCAGCCCGGTAGTGGATCCACATCAGTTAGGTTTAGGATCACAGTTAGCCTGGGAGAAGTTTGGAAAGGGATTTTCCTTTAGAGTAAAAGCAACAGTTAGAAGCCACCAGTTGCACAAAAGCCTGGAAGCATTTGTTTAACCTTTTGAAGACAAAAGAAGTTTCTGTTGATTGTTCACCAATAAAAGACTTTGTTATATTTACAAGCCCTCTAAAGACTGTTTATGGTGAAAATCCTTAAGAATTTCTCTTCGGGCCCCCTGGCTTCCCACTGGGCTAAAGTTGCACGTCCTGTTTTTAAAAGCAATTTGTTTCAAGCCCGGCGCGCGACAGAACAGGCCATCCGGTCCAACCCCATTCTGACAAGAAGCAGGAAAATAGCATTCAAAGCACCCCCGACAGATGGCCATCCAGCCTCTGTTTCAAAGCATCCAAAGAAGGAGCCTCTACTACACTCCGGAGCAGAGAGTTCCACTGCTGAACAGCTCTCACAGTCAGGAAGTCCTTCCTAATATTCAGATAGAATCTCCTTTCTTGTAGTTTGAAGCCATTGTTTCATTACGTCCTAGTCTCCAGGGCAGCAGAAAACAAGCTTGCTCCCTCCTCCTCCCCATGACTTCCTCTCACATACTTATACATGGCTATCATGTCTCCTCTCTCAGCCTTCTCTTCTTCAGGCTAAACATGCCCAGCTCCTTAAGCCGCTCCTCATAGGGCTTGTTCTCCTGACCCCGATCATTTCATAGAATCATAGAATCAAAGAGTTGGAAGAGACCTCGTGAGCCATCCAGTCCAACCCCCTGCCAAGAAGCAGGAATGTTGCATTCAAATCACCCCTGACAAATCGCCCTCCTCTGGACACATTCCAGCTTGTCAATATCTCTCTTCAATTGTGGTAACCAGAATTTGGATGCATTCACCCATTTGTGTGTCCCCTCCTCCCTTAATTAATTTATTACAGTTGCACTATGTATTAATCTCTTAGATTATAGTCATGTCATTACCTGCAGTTATTTCCACTGCATTCTCACCAGTTGTGTAGCAGCAACCTTTGAAATCCAAACACAAATACCAGTAGTGAAGTCAGCGGTCCTCAACCTGTGGGTCTCCAGATGTTTTGGCCTTCAACTCCCAGAAATCCTAACAGCGGGTAAACTGGCTGGGATTTCTGGGAGTTATAGGCCAAAACACCTGAGCACCCACAGGTTGAGAACCACTGAGTTAAATCATTATATCCACTAAGCTTAGAAATACAAGCAGTGGTGCTTCACATTACTTGGATTACGAGGGTTGAATGAAAAGTAATGCCTCCACCTTCACAACTCCTCAACAGATGGCAGTACTGGTATGTGGCAGGTACTGGCTTGTTCAGTAGGCTCTCCTCTACAGTTCCATTTTGGCAGGAAGCCTTAGCATTGAATGGTTGTGTTGTTAAAGTGCGGAGTGTGGAACCCTGAGTAGACAGTCAGTCAATGTGACTTAAGCAACATGCAGTCATTGAATTCTTGACAGCAGAAGATATCACCCCAAAGGGGATTCATCAGATAATGCAAGCTCTTTATGGTGATTGTGTTGATGTGAGTATTGCGTGTCATTAGGCGAGTAAGTTTAAAGATGTTGAGGTGGGAACATCTGACTTGCATGACAAACAAAGAATTGGATGTCCTGTGACAGCAACCACCGAGTTTCACAAGCAGAAGGTTGACAGATTGATTCAGGACGTTGTATCACTAAGAGAGAATTTTCAAGCATAATCGACATTTCACAAGAACGTGTGGGTCACATTATTCCTTTGCTTGGCTATTGGAAGATCTGTGCACGACGGGTTGCAAAATAGTGTTGACTTCTTCCGTGACAGTTTCAGAAATGTATCCAATTGTTTGGTGATTATGTTGAAAAGTGAATATCGGTAGTTAAAGAGCACATTCTAAAGATTGGGTTGTTGTAGGTTTTTTCGGGCTATATGGCCATGGTCTAGAGCAGGGATCCTCAAACTTTTTAAACAGTGGGCCAGGTCATAGTCTCTCAAACTGTTGGAGGGCCGGATTATAATTTGAAAACAAATGAATGAATTAATATGCACACTGCACATATTTTATTTGTGGAGCAAAACCACTTAAAACAATACAATAATTAAAATGAAGAACAATTTTAGCAAATATAAACTTATTAGTATTTCAATGGGAAGTGTGGGCCTTCTTTTGGCTGATGAGATAGGATTGCTGTTGTTGTGTGCTTTCAAGTCATTTCAGACTTAGGTTGACCCTGAGCGAGGGCCGAGTAAATGACCTTGGAGGGCCGCATCCGGCCCCCGGGCCTTAGTTTGAGGACCCCTGGTCTAGAGGCATTCTCTCCTGACGTTTCGCCTGCATCTATGGCAAGCATCCTCAGAGGTAGTGAGGACCTCTCGTAGTGAGTCAATACCTCTGAGGATGCTTGCCATAGATGCAGGCGAAATGTCAGGAGAGAATGCCTCTAGATCATGGCCATATAGCCCGAAAAAACCTACAACAACCCAGTGATTCCGTCCTGGAAAGCCTTTGACAATACATTCTAAAGATTATTTCTGTGTTTGATTTATTATAATATTCCCATCCATACCTAAGTAATAGGCTTGGTTGATCCAGTCTGTTAATTTCTTAATTCGTTATTATTTCATTAAATAATTACCTTTAGAAGCGATATAGACGTGTTTTGGCAACCCGGAAGTGTTTTTGCCATATCGAATCGTAAATGTTGGGGGCGTGGCCTCCGAGGAGCGCTGTGCTTGGCCATGGCCACCTCTCCCTTGGACAGCTTGCCAGGGAGGAGAAAGAAAGGTGAGAGATTTAAGAACCAACACTTTTAAAATCTCTCACCTTTCTTTCTCTTCCCTGGCAAGCTGTTCAAGGGAGAGGTGGGCGTTTCCAAGCACAGCGCTCCTCGCTCGGAGGTCACTGGGGGCTGTGCTTGGCCATGCCCACCTCTCCCTTCTGCCGCAAGGGAAGGAAGGGAAACTGCGAGATTTTAATGGTTATGGAGGGAGGGAAGGGCACCTTCCATTAACGAAACAGAGGAAACGATTCGTATTTCCTGGTAATTTCGATATTTTTTTAAAGAAAATTTCATAAACAATTTAAAAATCGAACCTCCAGCGCCCCCTACATACGAAACGAGTTTAGAACCATTTTTTTCTTGATCAACCAAGCTTACTAAGTAATGAAGGTGCAGGCATTACTTTTCATTCAACCCTCGTATATCCACAAGGTCTTAAAAACATTGTCACATTTTTTTAATTTGTAGACGCCTCCATGTCCACCAGAAACTAGTTGACGGCAGTGATTATGGTATAAAACAATTGAGGGGGGAAAAAAACATTCATTTTTTTTAGTTGGACTGCAGCATTCCAGCCACAAAATAATATATTTATTACTTCCCAAATCATTTTCATCCTTTTAGAGATAAAAACTACACAAATGATAACTGATCAGAATAATTAATTAAAAATCAATAAATCAAATACACCCTTCTGTGTTTTCCTTTTAAAAAAATAATCACACAAGCACCCAAAGTCCATCAAGATACTCTTTTTTTGTTCAACCCATCTTAACAATTTCCACCAATTTTGGGTATACAATGGAAATTCCGACATTCCAAATCCTTCTCCTCTTCCATTTTGCACTGCTCCGCTCTTCATGTGAGAACTCTTACATCATCAATAACCATTCCCTTCTTTAAATGCCCCAAATATAATTTGAGGATCAACAATGATGCAAAATGAAAAAGAAAAGTCAAAAGTCATATCCTCTCCAATAATGTACAACATGTGTTTTAAAATGGGTGTGAACCCCGAGATTTACCTATTTTGGCCTCTTGGTTCTTTTGTAGACATTGCCAATGCCATTTTGAATCAATGTCTTTAAAACTCAGTTTGGAATTATTTTTTTTTCTTCCTTCAACAAAATATTTTTTAAGAGAACACCTTGGCTTGGGATGTTCTCGCCATCTTGATAAGGACAACAAAAATTTAAAGAAACCTTTAAGAGAGTTATAAACACATAATAACAAAAAGTTATCGCATATTTTCAATCTATGTTTGGATCCCGCCCGCCAAGTACGCATTCCTTTAATTGGTATCTGTGGTTCTCCTTCAAAGGAACGGTGCAATGTAGAAAAATCAAATATACAAACAGAACGTTTAATCCATCCTTTATGTTGCTAGAGTGAAATCTAAAGTTTTTGTTTTTTTTTGTATAAGAACCCAACAATCTTTCTGATATTTACACCAAGAAGTTTGTTCAACAGTTTAAAGCCAAAGAACGTTCTGAAGTTCTCCAGTTCACGAGCAACATTACAGAATGCTTGAGGATCACTGCGGAAATTCAGTTTGTAACTCTCTCCTTTTCCCTGTAAGCTGGAGTTGAAACAGCGGGAACTGGAATGATTACTCTTCTTGTTCCTTGCTCCTCTTGAACCAAAGGTCCCCCCTCCCCAGAAAAAGGAACCCTCCCATTTACCCTTCTGAACTCTCTGGAACGGCATTCCGTCAGTTTGGTATTCTCTCAATGTATATAGCTGGAGCAGCCGAACGTGCAATTGTAGCAATGAAGCTGTGGTCTCGACTCCTCTCCAAGTTGGTTTCAGCCTGGTCCCGAGAGATAGTGTCATATCCTTTATTTACATGGAGGGGTTTGTGGGCCTGGCAGTATCCAATCACCGGCTGGTCATAGCCATAATAGGGCAAGGTTTTCATATGGTGAGGGACCTAGAGGGAAAGAGAAAAGGGGATGGGGGAGAAAGAGGAACCACACATTAGTATCCCTGCAGAAGCAGAAAAAAGAAAGAAAAAAAAACAGTCTGTGATATGGGGAAAAATTAACAATCTAGTCAATACGCATGAGGATCATGTGATTAATTGCTAATGTATTGTTTTAAATGGGATTCGGTCTGCCTTTGATTCCAAACGATGCTTCATTTGACTACATATCCTGCACTTGGGACTTTTATCTCCTCGTTAGTTGTTTCTAGCACTCAGAAATTGATTCCGCTTTAGCTGAGAATTTCTTATCTTTTTCTCTCGGACCCTGGCAGAATGCCAAAGCCACTGTTCGGCTCTCCTGTTTTGACTGATCTCCTCCCATCTATTTATTTGCTCATTCATTTCTGCAGCTGGGCCAGGTGCTGAGCTGTTTTCATGTTCCCTATCATGGGAACTCTATGGTAACAATTCAGAAAGCACACCATCATCCCCACACCCTTCAGGGACATTCTCATGGGAAACTACACTTTGAACAGGGATCTCCTGGTCATTCTCTGCATCAAGATCACTGACCAAACCATTGCCATCTTGATACTCATCTTGAAACTCATTGACATCACCCAAATAAGGAAATTTCCTTTGATTCCTAAGATTTTGTGATCTCCTTGTTAGCCATGCTGGTTACAAATAAAATAGGGAATAAATCTGAGACAGAGTTTGGGGCTTGTCAGTTGCATTCAAGACTCTTGTCCTTTTCCCATGATTTGAGCATCTGCTGACTCTTTTGTAAAGATTGTAGTTGTAACACAAACCCGACTGCATATTATCACAGATGTCAACTACACCGCAGTTAAAAATTCCAACAGTTTGAAAAGGGCAGGTTTGTTAGTCAGTTGCAGCAAGAAATCCCAGAGACCTTTGATATCTTCTGGCATCAAACAAGGATGACATTTTAATATTTCATCCTCCAAGACTGTAGGTCTATTTTTATTTGTCTCATCCACCCACATTTCATTTCCCTCCTACATTGAGGGGAGCATTCTAACTTTTGCACAGCGCTTGGCATCCTCACTTCTTCCCATGACCATTGAACGGCATGGATACAACAATTAAAATACTCAGTAGACATTGGTGGACAATTGAAATCAACACAGCTCTTTTATATTGCGGATACAAGAACCAGGAGCCCCCAGTGGCAAAGTGAGTTCAAATCCAGGGAGAGCGAGTTGAGCTCCCTCCGTCAGCTCCAGCTCCCCATGTGGGGACATAAAAGAAGTCTCCCACAGAATGGTAAAACATCAAAACATCCAGGCATTCCCTGGGCAATATCCTTACAGATTTATTTATCATGTCAGGGGCAACCAGACCATTTTATTACATTTCTAACAGAACAAAACAAACAAACAGATTAAATAAACACAAAGTTTGCAAGCTTGGTAGTTGATTAAATGTCCTTTGACCAGTATCTGGCCACTTGAAGTGCCTCTGGTGTTGCCGCAAGGAGGTCCTCTACTTAGAAGCCATAGTAAATTACTGGTGCAAAACTAGCCCACAGCTATTAAATCCTTTCCTAAGGAACTTGTTTCCTCCGAACCCAAAACTCATGTGTTCTGGGCCAACTGAATTTTAGTCTCTTCACTTCTAGAAACCAAAATTTGAAGAGCAAATGTTGACAGCTGTTTTTCACTCCAACCCATATAACTCCTGCATGACATGACCAGGGGCCAACTATATAAAAGTAGCTCCCTTAGCCAATCATTCCCAAGGATCTTCCTGGATGAGTGCAGAGTGGATGGAATGAACCACCTTTGCAGAAAGCCTTTCAAGGAAGCAGCATCCATATACCAGGTCTAACGTGATCACTAACTGTGCTGTCGCACGCTGGGCCTGTGCATAAGACTGTAGACAGGACATAAATTCTGTGTGCCCAACGGGACGCCAGGGCTGCCTCAGATTAAAGGCCTTTGGATTTCCTTAAAACAGAGTCTCTAGATTGCTTAAAAGTTCAACAAAGTTCTTTATTAATCAAAACAAACAGGTACTTTAAAGCTTTCTTAATAGTCTATTGGCTCTCTCAATCTTGTTCACTGGGAACAGGCACTATCTTCATAAACTGTATTTTAACTAATGGGGAAATCTTTAACCTTTAATCTGGGCAGTCTGTCTTTGCCTCTGTTGGCGTGGAGCCCCTGCACCCGGTACCAACTGCTTCTGGCTTCCGCAAGTGACCCTTACCAAGCAGAGCTTTGTAGACTTCCAGGGGAAAAAGGAGTTCAGGTTTCAGTGATGGCTGATTGAAGTCCCTCAGCGAAGGAGCTGTAAGGCTGTATGATCCTCGGCTAAGCTGTGGGCTGTATAACCCACATCCCACAGCTCGGTCAAGCTGTAGAAGATGAAGCTTTCTATAGGAGCTCTTAGTATTATGTCCTGCATGGAAAGCTTCTCTGTGTGGACTGAACTCAAACTGGCGCCTATTCCCTCCAAAACCCAAAAAGGGGGTGGGACCAGGGAACCTAACTATAATTGACAGGTGGCTTGCCCTATGATTGCAGCCAAAAGAAGCCACCTATCTGCAGAGTCCCTGAAACTTAGGACTATAACAAACATTAAATGCAAAGCAAACAAAATTGGAACTCCTGGTGCAGTTGTACCTGCACACTAACTAATCACAGCCTGCCCTGATCTAGAGCCTAGATACATGGGTCACAGTGTGAAAAATACATGAAACTGTAAGGATGCAGCGGACTCTTAGAGCGCACAGAGTTTGCCCATCATAGTGTCATCATTTTGCCTCCCCTTATTGGCCTCACCCATTGGAGGTCAGCAAAACTAGACCCTTGAAACAATCTAACAAGTTGATTTAAATCCCCCCAGTTTATTCTAAGGTTTCATCTCAGTTCTTTTAACTAAACAATAAAGCCCAGCAATTTTTGGTGCCCTTTTTATTTTTTTTAGAATAAGATCTCCCTTGTAAAAGGACAGACATCAGTAATGTACACAACATTAACTTGATAGGGTCCAGTACACATCCTTGTTTTGTCCCTTGCCTCTAAACAGGCATTAAAAGTTCTGAATCAGAGCATTGTCTCTAAATGGCTCCGAAATACCGTTGCCCTAAAAAACATATATGCTCAGTACCTTATCCAACTGTCCCCTTGGCTCCATTTTGAAAAGCTTTCTTTCTCTTATCTGTCCTGCTCTTTAGTAACAAGAAAGAAAAACTAGTTCAAAATGGGGTCTGAAAGTAAGTTTTCTGTTGTTGTGCCATCCACTCAGACGCTATAAAAAATAAAACTGTGACATGCTTCTCTCTATGTCTGAGCGAACTGCAGGTGTCTTTCTTGAGAAGCTTGAGATACACAGCAACTGAGGCTATTACTGGTTTTAAACATCAATAAAGAATATTTATTTATTCAAAGTCCTTGCAGACTTGGCACAGCTTATCAAAGTTACAAACAAACAGTCAATAGATGAAACCACAGAGATATTCCTTCTTTCTCTTCTCCTCCGGTCACTGAGTTGACTTTTCCCCAGAAGGCAGATAAGATCCTGGAATCTTTACACCCTAAGCTGTTATGGTTAGAAAAAAGCAGGTTTTTTTCCCTATCTATAAGTTAAGGTTAGTTCTGGAGACAAAGCAGTGAAATCTCTCTCTATATAACTATATAACTCAATCTTCTCAATTGAGCTTATCTATCTATAATATCTCAATATAGCTTAATACTCAATTGCTCAATATAGCTCAATATAGCTTAACTAGGGCTGGGTGGTTTCGTTTCGTAATTTCGTAATTTGTTAAAATTCGTTAATTTTTTTATAACGAAGCGATAAAGAACCATTCAGGAGCAACTAAAAAACGAAACGTATTTTTAAATTCGTTTCGTAATTGGTTCGAATTCGTTATGTATTCGTTTAGTTATTGTTTAGAAATCGTTTCGTTATTATTTCCGCATGTCTGGGGCAAGTTTTATAGCTGTTGTTTGTTTAATCAGTGAAAAAAAATATATAAATATCACACCAACAGTCAACAACAGAGGGAGAGGGAAGCTTCAGAAGTTCCCCCTGTCCCATATGGAGGTTTTTTAGCGTATTGCGCGGTCGCGTCCGCCATTAACGAATCGATTCGTAATTGTTTCGTAATTGTTTTGTAATTTACGAAATTTCATAAATATCAAACTTTTAAAAAGAAAAATTTTGGAATTCTTTTAAAAATCAAAACGCAAAAACCCCCCAAAAACGAATCGATTTTAGAAACAAATTTTTCCGTGGTTGGACAGCCCTAAGCTTAATAGTTATCTATAACTCAATATAGCTCAATACTCAATTACTATCTATATTAACTCAATAGTTTTTGCAATGGTTTTCCAAAAAGAGCTGCTCTCTAGGCCAATAGTTGCAAAGAGGCCTGCAGGCTGGCTTTCCAGCCTCTGAAACTGTTAACTTTCAGGGCTCTGCAGCAGCCCTGGGAGAAAATCCAAGGGGGAGCAACTTCAAGCAACTGTAAGGGAAGGCAAATTAGGCTCCTGGGAAACGGATCAGTAGTTTCTCATTCGTTCAGTCACTTCCGACTCTTTGTGACCTCATGGACCAGCCCACCCCCAGCTCCTTCAAGGTCCAGCCAGTTCAAGGATGCCATTCATCCATCTTGCCCTTGGTCGGCCCCTCTTCCTTTTTCCTTCCCTTTTCCCCAGCATCATTCTCTTCTTAAGCTTTCCTGAAGTTTTCCAACATAGGGAAAGGAACATCAAAAAAGGGGATTGGATAGACATTTGTGTCTTACTTTATAGAAACACTAGCTGTAGTTTGGGGGATTGTCCTGAAAATATTGTACACTAGCTGTACCCGCCACTTGTTGCTGTGGCCAACCTTCCTTTCCTCTTTCTCTCCTTTCTTCCTCTCCTTCCTTCCCTTTTTCCTTTTCTTCTCTCCTTCCTTCTTTCTCTTCCTCTTCCTTTCCTTCTCCCCTTTTTCCCTTCCTCTTTCTCCTCTTTCTTCCTTCTCTACCTATTCTTGGACTGCATCCCCCAGCAGTCCTCCTGATCGATCTATCTATCTACCTACC